AAGGTCCTGAATAAACCGTCTGAAAGAAGGACCTGTTGTCGCGTCATCCTTGCGGGTCGAGGCGGTCGTGACAGTCAACCTTTGGTTATTTAGTTTTGGATCTTTAGCTGTAAGATACTTATGCTGTAACCCAAGCCACTGATAATGGTGCTCCTGTCTGTCATCTTTGGTAAAGGCTCTGAGGATCAGATGTATGCCAGGTGCAGAAGTCCCCTTGAAGTCTGTAAGGGTCTGTTACAAGCAATTCATTGACTGGTTCTTCTAAATGTGCCATGTACATGATACCAAGTACTGAGTTCATCTTGGTTTTATATTTATTACTTTTAGTAAAACGTATCCTAATGGGCTTAATGCAGTTGAGCTAATATGGCCAAAAGTAATTTTAAGCTTCACTTGTTTGTTTGTGATCCAGGACAATAAGTTCAAATGTCTCTCTCTTTGAAGGAAGGTAAGTTGTGTCAACTGGTGTCATTTCGAAAGTTTCATTAAACTCATTCTATATTTTGTAAAACTTGCTGGAAAATACCATTCCTATGGTCTTGCAAAAAAATGTATTATATTGGCATAATTTCAATTACAGAATTTTACTTGGATGTTTTTGGATTAATAGTTCAATGAATAAGAAATGTGTTTTACATTAAAATTATGAATTTTAAAGAACAGTTAATATTGTCTGGATTCTCAATTAAAGATTAAAAAAGTAAGCCGGGCGCCTGTGGCTCATGCCTATAATCCTAGCTATTCAGGAGGCTAAGATGTGAGGATCACAGTTAAAAGCCAGTCCAGGCAGAAAATCTGTAAGACTCTTATCTCCAATAAAACCACTAGACAACCAGAAGTGGTGCTGTGGCTCAAGCGGTAGAGCACTTGCCTGAGCTGAAGAGCGCAGGGACAATGCCCAAGCCCAGACAGAGTTCAAGCCCCATGACCGACCAAAATAAAAAGCTAAAAAAAAAAAAGATTAGGGCTGGGAAGTTGGCTCAGTGGTAGAGCGCTTGCCTTGCATGCCTGAGGCCCTGGGTTCGATTCCTCAGCACCACATAAGAAAAAAGCCGGAAGTGGTGCTGTGGCTCAAGTGGTGGAGCGCTAGCCTTGAGCTGAAGAGCTGAGGGACAGCGCCCAGGCCCAGAGTTCAGGCCCCAGGACTGGACCCCCCCACCCAAAAAAAAAAAAAGATTAAAAAAGTATATAGTTTTTTTCTTCATTAAGGAATTTAAGTAAGCTCATGGACTAGTACTGAGAGAATGTCTCCAGTTTTATACTTATGAAGTAGTGTAGGATAATATACATCCATAATGCTAGAGGTTGCTTGAAAGATTTAAACAATGGAACTTCCTTTGTGTGAAGATCAGATGTAGCTGACAGTAATAACTTGCTAATTATTGCTCTATCACTGTGGTAAAAAGGGAACTTTTTTCTTTTATTCTTTTACGTTTTTAAATGCTTTAATTTTGGTGGGTTTTTTGTTGTTGTTATGTTTTAACTGGGGCCTAGACTCAGAGCCTCATGCTCTCACTCAGCATTTTTGCTCAAGGCTGATGTTCTGCCACTGGATCCAGACCTCCACTTCCACCGCTTTTGCCGATTATCTGATTTGTCCATCTGTGCTGTCTTTGAACCTTCTAAGGAGCCAAGGTTATAGGCTTGAGCCAGCAGTGCCCAGATAGAAGTAGAACTTCTTCATACTTCTAATTTCCAGGTTTATTTTGAGGCTTGGGAATACAGGAATTGTTCCACTTTAGTTAACCAAAGACTCTATCTTCCCCTATTTCCACTATAGGACTGAGTCTTTAAAATTAGTCAATCAGAGAAAACACGGATGTCATCTAATGCTAGGCAATTTTTGGTTGTAAGGCTAAGATAATCTAATTTATTTTGCTTTTCATGATTTATAAGCATTTTTTTAAGATTAATTGGAATCATTAGTTAACAATCTTAGATTTTAAATTGTGTAAATTTCTAGCATATATTCTCAGAAATAAATTAAGTCAGAATATATGAGCTTTGCTGACTTAACAAATCTATGTGTCAACAAATGTGAAGGCATTTAGACAAGGATCTTCTGTGTGTTACTTGTATGCTAGTTGGGGAAACACTATTTAACCCTTGACTTAATTAAGGCTTCAGCACTTCTGAAATTTGCACTTGTGGTTTCCTATATTCTTAAGACAGAAGAGGGCAGTAGAGGTCTGGTTATGAGCATCTTGATGGCCCGTTATATTTTGCTTTTTAAAATTGAAGCTTGTAGGAGGGATGGGTGAGATTGTTGCTAAAGATGCATTGAACTGCTTTGTTAAATAACAAGCCTTTTGTACAACTACTTTAAGATAACTAAGTTTAAAAAGCTTGTCTTAACCACACATATACTTTTTCTTTTTTTTTCTGTAGCTCACTTATATCTTGAGAAAATTATACTAATTCCTTAAGAGCTTCACACTTTTGCTGCTTAGTTGGACTTTCCTTTAAAAAAAAAACGTTTACAAGCCGGGCACCGCTGGCCCATGTAGGAAAGTCCATGAAACTCTTATCTCCATTTAACCACCAGAAAACTGGAAGTGGTACTGTGGCTTAAGTGGTAGAGCACTAGTCTTGAGCTGGAGAACTGAGGGACAACTGACAAAAAAAAAAAGTTTACATGGTTTCAGTAATTTAAGCTAGCAGCCAGGAGTAAACTATTCACCTTAGATACCAATACATCTATTTTCTTAGGTAAATTTAGTATAATGGAAAATGCATTTGTATTAGCACAGAATTATTCTTTTTTTTCTTGCTACTTTTTAAAAGCAATTTTACCTGTGATTGTTGATGATTTTATAAATAAGAAAAATGAATTATTCATAAAAAGGCCAAATCCCTTCTATTCCTGTAACCTGCCTATAACCTATGAGTTTCTGGTTAATGATCTAAATACCTCATTATATGTGGGTCCTTTTTTGTATGTATGAATTGAGTAATAATTGAGCAGTAAAAAATAGCTTTTCTTAAAACCATTCTTATAGACTGTAATAACTAATGATATAATAGCTAGTTACACTTAGTTTTTGAAAGTTTTAGCAAGGATTTATTTTAATATAGTTAAAGTAGGGAGAAATAGAAAAAAGAGAAATATTTCCTGTTCTCCAGGAAGGAAATAAGAGTTAAAGACTCTAAAATAACACTTTCAATTATCATGTTGTATTTCTGTGTAATGCATAAAGAATCATTGTAATACATTAGACAAGTATGTCTTAGGTAGACTGAGTCTTGAATAGAATCTTCAGAAAGATCAATTTGCATATCACAAGAGGTTGGTATCATAAACTTTTAGGTTTATGTGCATTTTTTCCTTTTGGGGTATAGGCATGTGTACCATAAGTATGCATTATGTAAGTATAAATACACGTTAACAGCATCAGCCCAAATACAACAGAGCAATTTGATTAGAAACTTCACATGGAATAAATTAGAGCTTCACATATACATTCAAAGTTCTATGAAAGGGAACCTGGCATGGCAGCAAATTATTTGAAAAAGATGTAGAAAGTTTATTGACCAAAAAAAAATCAGCCTTATTAATTTTTGGCAAAGCTAAACTGTGTGTATAAATATCATGATAGTTTGATTAATAGGAGAGTCTGTGCCCTAGTATACAGCTGCAGTGGTGAATTTCCTTGAGGATGCGACATTCAAGAGAATCTTACAGAGTGTGTATAATGCAAAGCAGATCATCATGTAGCTCTGAACCCCTACAGAGTGATCATGCAGGAAAGTAACAGACTTCCTGAGCTTTTCACCAGACTGAGGCCATGAGTAAGAAATAATGGTGGGCTTAGGCTAATGAAAGAACCCTCTAAGCAAGAACCGCAGTGGGTGGCGCAGGAACTGATCCTGAGCCATTCTGCCTACAGGAGTTCATTTTGAATCCAAATAAAAGTGCATGTAAAATGCTATGTCCAGTAGTTGACACAGTAAGCACTCAACAGAATTTTAAGAGATTCCCTTGCAGTAATGAAGGCAGATGTGGCAGCCACGCCATCGTCTTTGGGCAATGACATGAACGGGGAGGATGCTAACGCCAAGTGATCTTCCATACTCCACAAATCTGGATGTAGTCACAGTATTGGAAACTATAGATGGGGTTGGGATATGCTAAAGTATCACTTAGGGGTGTGTGTGTGTGTGTGTGTGTGTGTGTGTGTGTGTGTGTGTGTGTGTGTGTGTGTGTGTGTGTGTGTATGCTAAAGTATCACTTAGGGGTGTGTGTGTGTGTGTGTGTGTGTGTGTGTCTGTACTTCTGGCTTTTTGCAGCTTAATTGGAGGTAAGAGTTTCTTAGATTTGTTCATCCAGGCTAGCTTCAAACTGTGATCCTCAGATCTCAAAGTAGCTAGGATTACAGGTGTGAATCACCTTGAGCTCTTGGATTACACATGTCATTAAGAAATAAGTTTCAGTTGACATTAAAACTATTAGTTCATCCAACAGCTGTTTACATTTTTGGTCCCAGGATATGGTCGTGAGCAGGGTAAATCCTCTTCTGGATTATATTCTAATTGAGGAAATAGAGGACTTGGAAAAGAAAATGGGAGTCTGATTAGATAGAGTTGGTGGTATCCACTAACATTTGACTAAACAGATGCTACTTGCCATCCTTTTCTTCCCTCCACTGCTAGAGGACCTGGAAGACTTCTCTTCTTGCCTCCTCAGCCTGCAATCATCTATGAGTTACCTGTATCACTTGGTTCTAAACATTGTAACATAGATGGAAGTCTACTGGCAGACTTCTGAAAAACGTGTTCCCTTTATTTAAAAAAGAAAAAGAAAATGGTCAGGAGTCTCTAGGACCAACCTTCACTTCTGCCTTGACCTTCAGTGGACTTGCTGGTGACCTTGAGCAGGTTTGCTACCAGCAAACCATCAATCTTAGGGAAGGCAGAAATGTGGACATTTGAGTTTTCAGGAAATTGGAGAGCACTGCACTAGCCTGTAGTTCCTTTTTCCAGACTTCCTTTTATATGAGATGGTTAAACATTTCTGCATTTTAAGCTACTATTAGTTGAACATTTTTATGAAGACAAAACATTCCTAGGAAATATAATATTGAAAGAGGCTGTATTAATTTGAAAAGGATGGAAATATTTTATGGTTTTACTGTTATATATCCAGGAATATGTCACTCTGATATCTTGTTTTTATATTTTTTGCCTTTCTTTGTTGATAGATTAGATTCCTGTATCAAATTTATCCTGTACATTTCCCCCCCTCATTTGTAATTGGACATTGATGATAGCTATACAGAATGTATTAATTTTTCTATCTCTACCTTAATGAACTTTTACTGATTGTAATTAGCCATTATAGATATTTACATTTTCTATGTTTGCCACTCTGAGAATAAATATGACTAGGCTTTAAAAATATTTGTTTTTTTTTAACATTTTTATTACATTAGTTGTACTGTTCAAAATGTTTGGTAATAAACACTATCCTCATTTCTGATTTTAATAGAAATACCAGTGTTTTCTCAGTGTAATATTTACTTTCAATTGGGACAATTTTGTCTCTTTTTAATTTCTTGGAATTGTATCAAAAATAACTGGTAATGATATATGCAATATATTAGTGGAATGAGAGTTCAAATTTTTTTCCTTAGATTTACTTTTGGAAAAAACTGATCTTGACCTCATACCTTGCTTGGAACTTTTATTCTTGAAAGAAAGAGGGCAGTCTAGTTCTAGCTATCTCCAAAAGAAATGATACAGATAAAATCATATCAGAAATTGCATGGGGATGGGATAAAAGTACTTACCTTCAAAACCTAGATTAATAAGTTATTTTTAAGCAGTGGAAGCAATGGAAGATAGATAGGTAGGTAGGTAGGTAGATAGATAGATAGATCTTACATGATAAAAGAAAATAGATCAGTCTTTCAAACAATAAAATCTTCCTATTAACATTGCATGGATCCTTATAGGCAAAACAAAACACATCATCTAAAATTTAATAGAGCATGAAACTTTAATTTTTTTAATAATAAAGACAACAATGGTATGAGAAGGGGATAGGGCTTTTAAACCAGTAAATATGTATGCCAATAATATACACTAAAATATAAACCAATAAATAATAATTGCATACCAGTAATTGGATGCATAGTCATCAGCTTTATCCAGTATAATGATAACAGTTGTGTCCTGTATCTCTATTGTCCAATAGCTCAGGTGGTTACTGAGCACTTGACATGATAGTGTGTGTGTGTGTGTGTGTATGGATACTTCTCTACCATATTTTAACTAAAATTTGAATTGTTACCAGGCATCTGTGGTTCATGCTTCTAAACCTAACTATTCAAGGGCTGAGATCTGAGGATCATGGTTCAATGCCAGCCTACACAGACAAGTCTGAGAGACTGTTTTCTCCAGCAAAAAGCTGGAAGTGGAGATGCAGCTTAAGTGGCAAAGTGCAAGCCTTGAGCAAAAAAGCTGAGCAAGAGTGTGAAGCCCTGAGTTCAAGCTCTAGTACCTATATACTGTAAATACATAAACACATAAATAATATAAAATTAAAATGAATAAATAGTCGTATGTGGCTGTTGTCTACTATATTGGATAGGATAGCATAGGTTTGTTATAGTGGCATAACTTCATTTAATTTCCTGGTTCATTTTTGTAATTTACCTTTATTTTGAGAGCCCCCATCTAAACTGGGATTGTGGTACCAAAGTGGCTAATGACCATGTCCAAACAAGAATGAAAGGGAGCTAGTCATGGGTGATTATGATGTTCCTTCCTTCTTTTACCTGTCAGCCTGGAGATTAGGAAGTCTCTCATAAGTGGCCTAATTGTCCTGTGTGCAGCTTATTCCCATTTCTATGAGGGAGAGATGTCTGCATTTTATTTCGGCCTCTGGCTTCAGCCATTTGGATGTGGTATAGAATTCAAAACCGTCGAGGATAGCAAAGCCATCTTCTGGTACAAGAAAGTTAGTTCTTCACTGAGGTAACATCAACATCCTAACATTTTTTTTTTTAGCCATCTCTTGCCAAACCCTTGAGACCATTGATTATCCAGTGTGACCCTCCTGACTAGAACTTGGAGTTGTCCTAAAGTAGATAGCAGAAAGAACCAAGAATCTTCTAAGTTACTTTGCTTGTAATCCCAGGCTGTAGAGTTCAAAGCCAATACCCTGGACTAAATAGCACAATCCTGATTCAAACAAAACAAAATACAACAAAAAAGTTATACTGACGTCTGAACTAAAATGTCATTCTAAACTACCATACCAAGTATCCACAATACAGGTCTTTACCTGTTAAGGGCCATCTGAGGTAATTGCAACATTTTTTTTGTCACACTGAGGTTTGAGCTCAAGGCCTTGTGTTTGTTGGGCAGGAACTCTAACATTTCAGCCATACACCAGCCCATTTTGCTTTTGGTTTAGTTACTTTTTCAAATGGGGTTTCATATTTATGTTCAGGGTGAGTATAGACCATGATCCTTCTATTTGCTCTTACCATGTAGCTAAGGCAACAGACACAGGCACACCACTGTACCTATGTGCATCTGTGTGCACCTGCGTGCTGGTCTGAGGGCTTGAACACAGGGCCTGGGTGCTGTCCTTGACCTTTTTTGCTCAAGGCCAATGCTCTACTGTTTGAACCACTTTTTTTGCTGGTTAATTGGAGATAAGAGTTCCATGAACTTTCTATGCTCCTCAGATCTTAGCCTCTTGAGTTGGATTACAAGAGTGAGCCATTGATGCCTGGTGCACCCAGCTTTTTATTAGTTGAATTGGAGTCTTGCAAACTTTGTTTCAGCAGGCCTCAAAACATGATCCTCCTGACTTTTACCTCCAGAGTAGCTAGATTACAGGTGTAAGCCATTGTGTCCCATTAACCGCCCCCCCCCCAATTTAAGAAGAAATGGTTTGTTGTATCCACTTTGCTTTTAAACAGTCTTTATTTGGGGTGTCAGGCCACAGATACTTAGATACAGAAATGTATGTTACTGAAAAAAAAATTGACCCATGAATGGGTTATTCAGTATTTTTCAGTTGAACTCTTTAAAATACCTGCCCTGTTCCCCCTAGTGATTATCATTTTAACCATGATTAGTATTAGACTCTTTATTACTGAGAGTAATTATGAAACTGGTTGTTGCCTAAGGCTACTCCTTATATCTGATTATAAAGCCAAGATATTAGACTTGGAGAGAAGAAATTTTATTCAGTTGACATTTTTTAGCACAGGCCTTGTGCCAAACACTTGGGGCTCTTTGCTGTTTTTAACTTTTAAATACGCGCGCGCACACACACACACACACACACACACACACATCATGCTGATTCTAATTTAAGCTTTTGTTGAGACTCCATCCTGTCCTGCATAGCAGCTGTATTATTATACAGACCCACTAGCAGTGAACAGGGTTCTCTATGTCCTTCCCTACTCTTGCTATTGCTGTGTTCTTTCAATCACGGCCATCCTAACAAGTAGAACTTCTTAGCTAAAGAATATCACTATGGCACTACTCCTTGTACTTCATAAGGATGATTCCCTTAGAAATAGTTCAAACAAAATGAAGAGTTGGCAGTTACGGGAGACTTACTACTTGGCAGAGGACCCTACTCTATCTAAGCACATTACATGTATTTGCTCACTTGATTCTGATTCTCCTCATGGCCCCTGAGGTAAGTACATATTTATTGTTAGATGAACCGTGGTGTCACAGTAAAGATGAGCAACTCAGGCAACTGGTAGAGTGTAGCAATGGGATTCAAACACAAGGAAGAATGGTTCCAAACCTGTTCCTCAACCACTGTGCTAATCTGCTTCTTTCTTAGAAGGATGCACACAGATAATATCAGTTGTTCATACCAATAATCCTGGCTACCTGGGAGGCTGAGACCTAGAGGATCATGGCTTGAAGTCAGCAGAAAAGTTTTTGAGAGTCTTTGTCTCTAAAGAGCAAAATGCCAGACTGGAGATGACTCAAGTGGTAGAGTGTCAGCTGTAATCATCTAAGTGATAGCTCAAGGCCCACAATTTAAGCCCTTGTGCTGGATCAGAGACAGAGAGACACAGAGA